CCGCCTCCCCCGGCCGGCCGCCCTTGTCACCAGGCCCACGTGGCACATTCCTGTCATTCCTCCCTCCGGCCGCTGCGCTGCACGGGCCGTCCCGCGGACTGCAGCGCCTGCTTGAGCTTCAAGCCAAGTTTTGTCCCCATGCGGCCCCCCAGCTCCCTGCCAAAGTGAGCACCCGTCTCACCTGCAGGGAAACCCTGCTGGGGCTTGTCCAGCATCCTCCATCCAGGCCTTGCTCCAAGCTGCTCCTGGACTGGCTTCCCGCTGGCTCCTCCCTTTGCACCCCTCCAGCTGGCTCCTCCTGTTGCACGCCGAGGGCAGGTTTGCCCACGCCACGCAGGTCTCACTGGAGCAGAGCTATATCCCAGCAAGCCGAAAACGAGTTCCCTGGAAGCACAAATGCTGTTGGCATACACAAGGCTGCAAAGGCTCATCTCCCACCTGAAGCACAGCAGAACTCCTCGAATCCCAGATGTGAAGACCAGCAGGGACCTGTCTGGCTGCTGAGCTGCATCCCTTGGGCAGCCAGGATGAACTCTCATTCCCTCTTTGCTTTCCTGCCTTGTAGACTTCCCATCTTTCAGGACTAGGATTCCTGAAGAGGCTGTTAGACTTCAGCATGCAACTGATGGCACATAGAATCATAGAATCATAGAACTCAGCATGCTACTGGTGGCACATGCCTGCAAATCATCTCCTGGGAAGGTCCATGCTTCAGGGATGAAGCATTCAGCAATCAGCTGGTCCTAGGGCCTCCACAGCAACATGTTGTTTGCTCCGTGAGGGCTGCTGGCTCTCACAGAGGCCCAAACCACAGCCGTGTGCATGCCAAGGCCTAGAGCTTCTCCAAGAAGGCAGTGGGTAGCTGCTCACCAGACAGACTCCCATGCCACGATGGGGCTGCCAGTTCCTGGTCCATATCCCCGAGGAAGAACATGAGGAAGATTCGGCTGTGGGACAAGCTATGGTGCCCGCACTCTAGCAGGAGCAGTGCTGCACTGCAATGACACCGTGGTGCAATTCTGGGCAGGGGCCTGGAAAAAGCCAAAAGACTGGGGGTCTCTTCTCATCAGAACAAACCAGATTTCAAAGCATCGGGGTTGTCCAGAAAGGGCTGGCCCTCCTCAGCCCCCGCAGCACCTCTGCTCTGCCTTCCCTTCATCCCATCTCGATGCTCACGCTGGGCTGCGGCTCATCCTCCTTCCCGACCTCCAGAATTCCAAGTGCAAAGCGCCCCGGCTACATTCCGCGTGCTGCTGTCAGGATGATCCTCCTTCCCACGGAGCAGCGCAGCGGAGAGGCCCGTGCTGCTCGGAGAGGGCACTGCCGGCTCCCCCGCGGCAAGGGGACTGTCGGCTTCTGTTGCACAGAGCCCCCGAAAAGCTCCACATTTAGAAAGCTCCCCGAAGGAGTTTTCTATCTATATAATATCCCCAAGGATGTTACGAAGATCCAGGGAGCTTCACATGCAGGTGTGGATTTCGGCATGCCTACCTACATGCAGAGCACGTTTCTGCAAGGAGTTCAGGCACATCTTTACAAGAAAGATGGTGCGGTGTTGGGCCCACGTTATCATGTTTTCAGTCCCTCAGAATGTTTTGTTTTAGCAACAGCTGGTCATAATTGTGCGTCAAAGCCTTTTACCAAGGAAAATGCTGTTTTTTAAAAAAAATCAACAGAAGATTATGTTTCATCACTTGTGATATTGCAATATTTATGCCTTTCAATTTTCCTAAACAACTCAATGCCCAAAACTCCCCCTCTAAAGGCAAAGACACAAAGACATCAGTCTCCTGAGTGATCTGACGTAATTTTCCTTTTGGGCAGCAACCCAAAACAACTCCAGCTCTGCTCCCTACCCTGCTAATTACTGCTCCATGCCCTGGATCTCTTCTGGAAACCCCCCATGGCTCCTGCTGGAAGCCTCAGCCTGGGCACTCTGGAAATGTCCTATACTGATAAGTGCTCCAGCCACTTGCGAGGGGCTCTGGCGCTGGCGGGGGACTGGTGTCTAAGCCAGTTCTCAGGGGTCTCTTCCCTTTGCAACCGCAGCAGAGCC